ACGGTGCTGCTTCTGTGCCACGGCTGCCTTGGGCACCACACAGGGGGGCTGAGGCTGAAGGGGACATGTCCTGTGGGGTGCCAGCACCTGCCCGCATGCAGAGGGGTTGGGGTGCTGCTGCCCCAGCAAGCCTGGGGCCAGCGGGGACACGTGGCCACAGGCCAGCAGGGAGGTGGCTGGTCTGTAGGGCATGTAGTGGATGGTGCCAAAATCCAACTGGGAGAGCTCTGGAGAGTGGAAGAAGGGGTTGCCATGGGCTGACTCTGGGGGAAAGCTCCTGAGGTTCCTCTGAGGATATGCTTGTGGGAGGTGGTAAAGGGCATGTCCTGGATGCTGGCGGAAAAGGTGGAGTCGCCGCCCCGGCTCCATGTCCTGAGGGACCAGCCTGGAGCTGGCAGCCATGGCCTGGTCCCCCGAGTCTCTGGCTGTGGAGAAAGAAGGAAGTATGCAGCACATATCCCACAGCCCAGAAGGGAGTATACAGCACAAACCCCACAGCCCAGAAGGGGGTATACAGCACATGTCCCACAACCCAGCTGCAGCAACTTCAGCACTGATGCTCCACTGCCCTCCCACCACGCACGGCCCCACGTCCCACCCGTACTTTGCAACTCCTTGCTGCCACCACCAAACCACCCTGATGGTCCTGCACACTCTCCCCGTGGCCCCTGCAACCCCCATATCCCACCTTCCCTTCCCCACAGATCTAAGGATTGGAATCCCTCTTCTTGGTGCAGGTCCCAGCTCAAGCCCAGCACCTTGCTGTACCCTGGTGGGCTGACAGGCAAGGGACTCCTCTCCATGCACACAGTCCCCTGTCCACTCTGTGCACAGGGACACAAGGACCTGCTGATCCATCTCCCAAGAGTAACTGGAGCTCCTGGGCACAATCCTGCACCCAACCCTGTCTTCAGCCAGGAAATGCCATGTCTGAGCCGTACCAAGAATATTGAACATGCAAAGTGGACACGTGTGGTGTTGCTGCAGCCAAGGGTCAACACACTCCCGATGGAACTCGTGGGAGCACGAGATGATCCGCAGTTCCTAGAAAGAAGTGGAGAGGAGGAGCATGAGCAAGGCGGACCATGTTCTAAGACATGGATGGGTCCTTCTTGATGGAAGTGAGCCTTGAAGGACGGACAGACGTCTAACAGTGAGGGATCTGCAGCCCAACTGTGCATGGAGGAGCCTGTGGAGCACCTCCAGTCCTGCTCTGTGAACATCCAGAGTGGTTCAAGACCTTGGGAATAGGGAGATTTCAGGCTGTGTGCTATGGAGCAGCAAACCCAATTTTACCCTATTTCAACATAGGCATTTTACCCCACAGCCACGGCTGAAGACCTGCCTGGAGACATGACTTCAGCAGAGGCTTTATAGCCCAGGGGCAGGCACACCTCCACGGATGCAATCCCTTTCCAGCACTCAGGAGTTCAGAAGGAAGCATCTCACAGGCCTCCAGCTCCTGCCATTCTCAGCTCCCACTGCTGCCCCCTTGGCAGGGAAGCCAGGGCCGTGAGTGCAGCAGTCCTGCCCAAAGCATACCTGGCCCTCGCTGAACTCCTCGAGGCAGATGGCACAGACCGGGGCGGAGCTGCAGCTGCTGGCCGAGTCCCAGCGCGGGGCCGGCCGCGCCCGGGGCTGGTAGCGGCGCGTGGCCAGCTGCCCAATGGCCTGCAGGGTCTGCTGCTGCACCGAGTCCTGCAGAGACACGCGCGGCTTGAGGACAGGCTCTGCCTTACTCTGCCCTCCCATATTCACAATGGGATTATCAGAAATTTGGGGATGATACCTATCTGCAGAGGTGACTTTCTGTCTAAGCTGACTCAGGCAAAGCAGGCTTTGTCACCAGCAGGAGACATCTGGCCCTAGATATTCAAGTAACTCAGCAGTGCTGAATTTTTGATCCCCAAATGATTGTCTCTCTATGAGACAAATGGGATAGTCTCAAATATGGAAATACATCTGACTCTGAGAAGATTATTATTTAATTTGTTAATTTCTATTAAGAATAGAAATTAACTGTAAATCATACAGTTATAGAATCAAGGAATGGCTTTGATTAGAAGGGACCTTAAAGCTCATCTTATTCCACTCTCCTGTCATGGGCAGGGACATCTTTCACTATCCCAGGTTGCTCCAAGCCCCATCCAACCTGGCCCTGGACACTTCTAGGGATCCAGGGGCAGCCATGCTACCCTGTGCCACAGCCTCCCCACCCTCACAGGGAAGAATTTCTTCCCACATCTAATCTAAATCTTTCCTCTTAGTTTAAAACTGTTCTCCCTGTCCTATCACTATCTGCCCATTTCCCCTCCCAAAAGGTGTCTGTTCCTGCTTTCCCTCTCTTCCTGTTTGCTCAGACACGTCTGCTCCATGAGATCCCTACCTGAGTCCTGTTCAGCTGGCACTTTGTGCGGACAACAAAAATCAAAATTATGACGACCACAGTGCTGACCACTGTGAGAAGAATCCACACATCGTAGTCTGGCTGTTGGATAAAATAGGACAGAAATTACTCTTGTGTGGAAATTACTCTTGATGGGAGTTAGAGGCTAGGGGAATCTCCATCTTTTCTGGACCATCAGTCTTGGGAAATATCATCCTTGGTCAAGGTCGTCCTCTTTGTTCTTTGCAGGTAAAATTAAAAATGGTTCAGTCTTTTCTGCACATCCATACAAGAACAGAATATCTCAGTCTTGAAGCATCTCAGCTCCCTTGAGACCATAGTCTAAGGCAGCATAAAATGAGAAAATCAAGGTTTGGTTTTACTTGAAGAGACAGAGAATCCCCTTGCCTCACTCATGACATTAAAGCAAAAGAAACTAAGCAAGCTGAAAGTGCTTTTGAGCCTTTACTTGCAGCAGGTCTGAATGCTAAAGACTCCTGCAACAGGCCATGATCTCCATCCCTGAGGAAGAAAGCTCAGCCTCTCTGGGAAAGCCTAGCAGGCTGGGAGGGAGGGTACAGGAGGCAGTGGAATCGTGCGTCTCTCACCCAAGCTGGTGGCTCCTTGACCTCTATCTTCACGTGGGCCTCTCTGTTCTTGTTCACAACGCCCATGAGGAGCTCAGCATCATGGCCCCTGATTAGGACCACAGGCTGGCTCAGGCCTCTGGGCTTCCTCAGCTGCAAAGAAACAAACACAGTAAGGGCTGATCCAGCACAGCCTGAAACAAGGATGATCCCGGCCTCCCAGGCAAGTCCATTCCTCATGATGTTTCTTGCAACACTTAGAGACTAACTGCTCCCCCAAGTTTACACTATCCTTCTATGATTAATCAGATGGAAGTGTCTCTTTTATCAATTTTCCAGCATGGATTTCTTTATTTTCCCTGCTGGTGACTCCTCATGCACAACCAGCCATTTCTTGGTGTCTCTTGAGCTCCTTTCAAGCCCCTGTGCAAAAGCTCTTGGTCCCTCCTCTTCTCTGTGCAAGTGCCAACAGCACTGCCAAGTGCTGCCTTCACCAGAGAAATGCTTCCTCTGCTCTGGACCCATCCAGTTCCCCTCCTCCCTAAGGACATTCTGCTTGTTCTGCTTGTCACACTGGCAGTTTTCCACTGTGGTCCAGGCAGCATGGCACAGGCTGGCTCTGCAAGTGTCTGAGCCTGCTCTCCTCCAGACCGATCTGGATCAGGGTGACCATCAGACCCAGTAACCCCTTCCCATATCCTCGGGGAATCCAGAGGTCAGTGGACAGGGATGGAGGTGCAGATGGTCAAGAAGACCATGAAGGCAAGGCCAAAGGCTCTGAGTTGTTGATAGGATTTGATGCTCTTGGCTATTGTGTACCAAATGGGAAAGCTGGAAAAGTGGGAGCCAAGGCTCGGGGTAGGGATCAGAGACTGGGATCTGAGCAACCTTGGCATCACCTCATGGACCTGCATTTGCTGATGTGTTTCTCTGGCACCAGAAATTAAGATGTAAGTGCCTGAAAGAGCCACAAGGGATGGATCTAGCAAGGAGTCAGCCCAGACCTTGCATGAGGTCAGGCACCAGCTCCCCTGTCTGTTCCCTACCTAAAGCTGGATATCCCTGGATTATCTGGATGGGGAATTGATTCCCTTCCAGAGATGACAACAGTGGTCGGGAAAGGGACCTTTGGAGGTGTCCTAACCAAGGTTAAACCTGCACCAACAGAAAAGCAGGTTGGCTTGGAAACTTGAGAAATCACCTTTCCTGAGGTACACTGGGCTGTCTGGACTATGTGAGATGGGGAAATTTATGATTTCCCAAGAGCAAACATCCAGCTCCTCACAGAAAAGTTTGATTGTCCAGACAATGTCTTTAAAGAGCATGGATGTGCCATGGAAAGTGTGTGTGTAGGGTAATAGCCAACACCCAACACCAGCAGCATCCTGGGACCTCCCACTGGTGGCTAGGGGGTCCTGCCCTGAGCAGGGATGAGACAGGAGCACTGTGTTTTAGCTGAGGGTATCACTGGGGTCTGTACCTGATCAGCAGCACTTTCATCATCGGTGATGTCAAAAAGGATTGCACGGGCTCCACGCTCCCCCGCCAGCTTTGCCTGTCCAAAACAACAGAAGCTTCATGTGGACATTTTGTACTGTACCCTGTGTCCACACCTGCCATTGGATCCATGTCTGCCTCCTGGGCTCTTCCCAGGAGAAAGAAGCACCTGTTTGGACTGAGGAAACCATTCCTACCTCAGTTTCTGACTTGTGTTGGGCTGCAGTGCCTACACTTGCCAGAGCCCTGCAGCTCACGGGTGATTTCTTCCTAAAGTTCTGGAGGTGAACTACTTGGTGGCGTTGCAGCCACAGAAAAACACAAACCTAACAATTCCTCAGCTGTCCGCGTGCCAGGTGCTCCCTTGTTTCAGAGCTGGATTTGCTGGGGAGGGATGTGCAGCCCGTTAGCCCTCCTGACCTCCACAGACAGCAGAAACTCCCACAGGTCCCCTGTCACCACCAGGGCTGTCAGAGGGCCTGACTCCCACTCACGCTGCTCTCCCTGGTTCCTCCTGCTCGTTAGGGAGAAGCTCAGGTGAAGCCAGGTCTGCAGTTCAGTGGCTTTCCCAGAGGGAAGGGACAGCTCAGAGACCCACCCAGGCGAGCACACATGCCACCCTGATGAGGTAAGGGTCACCCACCTCCTCCCAGGCAGCCCCTGGAGCGCTCCAGGCAGGCAGAGGCAGCCCCGGGAGGTGGAAGGTGAGCAGGGCTGGGCAGGGCTGGGCCGGTAGCTCAGGCGGAGCCCTTTGATCCCAAGCGAACAGGAGCAGCATTGCCAAAGGCGGCGGGGCCGTGGGGCACTGCCCGCCCCGGGAGCAACCCGGGCCAAGGGATGGGGCATTCCCAGAACCGCCCGGGGGGCACCGGCTCCATCCCAGGGATGCGGCATTCCCGGAACGGCCCGGGGGCAGCAGCTCCATCCCGGGGATGCGGCATTCCCGGAACGGCCCGAGGGCAGCAGCTCCATCCCTGCTCCCGGTCACCCCGGCCAGGTGCACTGGGGCCTGGGTCTGGGTACAGGCATGGGAATGGAGCTGCAGGTGGTCAGCAACAGGCAGAGGTGGAGGCTCTGAGCTGCTGACAGGATTTAACACTCATAGGGAAGCTGGAAAAGTGGGATCAAGGCTCGAGACAGGGATCAGAGACTGGGTCCTGCCTAGGATCGACAGAACCTCAGTATTTGCCAGCACTTTCAGGGGAAGAGGACTTTCAGGGAGTGAATTCCATCCCATAGTCAGGCCTTGATGAACAACAAACAGCTCTACATAGATTTTATCCTGCTAAAGACACTGACTACGGGGCAATGAACAACTGAGACTGGACAAGTGACTTTTCCCAACATCTTTCTGATTCCTATTGCAAAGGATACAACTTCTGGTGACCAGGGACAGGGCCCAGGGAACAGCTGGGGCTGTGCCAGGGAGGTTTAGGGTGGAGATGAGGGAAAGGTTTTTCCCCAGAGGGTGCTGGCACTGCCCAGGCTGCCCAGGGAATGGGCACGGCCCTGAGGCTGCTCCAGGAGCTCCCAGGGATGCCCAGGGTGGCATTACTGGGGTTCTGTGCAGGGCCAGGGGCTGGACTGGGTGATCCTTGGGGTTCCTTTCCAACTCAAGATACTCTGTAATTCTGTTCAAGCCTTTCCCAATTTCCTTGATACAGTAATTTTCTCAGTGTTAGCTGTGTTTGCACTGTATCTCTTCAGCCGTGTGGCACAGCTGAGCTCTCTCTGGTGCAAATAGGTATTTACAGGATGATTTTGGAGGTCTCAGAAGTCTGACAACCAGGCTTGCAATCACAGGTTCACTCAGAAATAAAAAAAAAGCCCCTCCCAAAAATTTACAAATTATGATCAGAAAGAACAATAAATCACTTTTGATTGATTCCAGAGGTCCTTCCCATGCCTTCCTCTCCTCTAACGCCTTCCCTGTTGGTTTTAGCTTTGGAAGCTGAAGCAGTGACAGAATTTAGGAAGCAGGGAAGTGCCTCAGGTGACTGGTGGAGTTCTCATTGTGCTGGGCTGGCCAGGGCTGTCCGTGTGCAGGGCTTGGCTGGGTGACAGCTGAAGCAGAGGTTGTGATAACACTCTGCACATGGCTATTTTTATCATCATTGATACAGCCCTGCAATGCCACATGCAAAGCTATGCCCCAAGACACACTTGCCAGGAAAACAAGGTTCCAGCTCCACTCAGCACCAGCCAAATCCCACAGCTACACCCCTGCTCCAGAGGAGGAGTGTGGTCGGGGGTTTGGAGGAAGAGACCTCAGCATCCCTGCCCATGGCAGCAGCTCAGCATGCAATGATCTTTTCAGGTCCCTTCCAGTCCCAATCAGTTTGTGATTCTCTGATCTGTACGATGTTAGAGGGAGGGAGCTTGGCAGAGGCTTCAGGAGTTTGGAGAAGCAGACAGGGAGGAATTGCAGGGGATGGAGGATCCATGACACAAGGCAGGGCCCAGGGATGTTGCCAGCTTAAGGAGCATCTGCTCTATTTCATGGCTAAACTACTCCTGTTCATGGGAGAAGAACTGTGAGCCTCCCTTGGTGAGATTTTAGAGCAGGAACACCTGCAGGACTGCAACTGCTGGATAGCAAAATCCAGTGCTGGATCTGGCTCTGGTAACAGAGTAGTGAGGACTGATGGCCAGTGAACTCAGCATACAGGTGAACTGAGGGTTTGTTTGCTTTGGGGGGTTTAGGAGTCCTGGAGAAGGGATCCAGGTGGAAGAGCAGAGTGCAGCAATGCCCCATGTCTTGTCCCACCCCGTGCCAACCTTCCTCAGCTGATCCTTGGACTCAGTAACACACTGGTACTTCCAGAGCTGCCACCAGAGTCTCACAGATGAAAGACAAAATTAGCGAAACAGAATCCCAGAATGGTCTGGGCTGCAAGGGACCTTAAAGCTCATCTCATTCCACCCCATTACAGCCAGGAACAGCTTCCACTAGACCAGATTGCTCCAAGCTCCATCCAACATGGCCTGAGTTTTGAAACCTTTGAACGTTGTGAAATGGAACACAGGCCTTTGCAGCTGCTTCGTCCTCTTGTTCATGATCCTCCACAGCAGCTGCACTGCCCAAACATCCTGGGGCAACCCAGGAAAGGACAGGTCCTGCTGCCTGTCTGCCTGTGCAGCCAGGGGGAACCAGCCCTGGGATGGCAAATCCACCATGGCATCACGTCCCTTTCCTTACTTTTGATGCCACAGCTTCCATGAGAAAACCCTGCTGTGCAGGAGCAAACACTGGGTACAAGTTTTGCCTGCCTTCTTCAGCTCAGTTGTAGGGAACATGGAAAAGGACCCTGTTCCCATCCCCACCATGTCACCACCAGCAGAAGGGCAACAGGGTGAAATGACCTGAAGGCAATCCAAGTAAAGCCAAGAAGAGCTGAACAAGGGGATTTTCATGCTTTACAACACTTGCACAAGTATGAAAATAGCCAACATTTGGTAGAGAGACAATCAAAAGAAAAAACCAATGTCATCCTTATCCATGCAACTTAATCAGAATCACAAAGATTTTAAACCTTAAAATGACCCTTGTTCCTACCTGACTTCCTTATTACCAGAGAATTGGACCACTGACCTCAGCTTTTGGCACAGGAAGTGCTGTTTCACTGAGGTGCCTGATCCAAAGACCTCTGAGATCTCCCAGGGCATGAACTGTTAACGAGTCGTGACCCACCACTAGTTCAGCTGGTCTGCATTTTATCTCACAGCTCAGCACTGACTCTTCCTGTGCCTCATCCAGTGAAGTATTGCAGCATTATTTTTGGAAACAGAGCCACAGAAGATGTTCTCTGTGTCCATGTTTTCCGACAGGCCAGAGAACACAGAGAAACACAAATCACACAGACCAGAAAGCAACATAAGGCTCTAAAACAGGAGAGGCACAAGGCTACCAGGCAGCAAAGAGTGTGGGATTCTGGGTAAGGTCTGACCATCCCAGAGCTGCCAGGCTAGGGGGAACTCCACACCTTTTACAAAGTCAGGCAGTCCAAAAGGTCAAGGGATGGGTGCTTGGGATGGCTGGCACAGCATCTCTCCCAAAGGACCCCCTCTACCAAGGACTGCCTCTGCCAAGGACCCTGATCTGTCCTTGTCCTTTTCTCTACTTCCCAACAGCTCTTTCCTTGCTGCCTCCTCCTCCCATTTTCTTTGCTGCACCACAGGTTTCACTTCCCAGGCTGACGCCACTTCAGGAATTTTGCACTTGCCTTGTTGGCCAGGGACAGGCAGGGGTTGGGATCCCGGTCCGGCTGCTCCAGCTTGACGATGGTGATGAATCCCGACTCCGTGTGTTCATCCTCGCTGGTGTTGCACAGGGATAGTGGGTGGGACTGCAGGACAAAAGCAAGGAGGAACTCAGATCCTGGGGCCCAGCACTGCAAAGGGGGCTCAAGCCCACTCTGCAAAACCCTCTGGACCTGCCCAGAGGTGCAGGACCCCCACCTGCTGGGTGTCTCCATAACACTGCTACATCCCACAGCCCTGCCCGAGCCAGTGAGGCCTTGAAAGACACAAAAGAACACTCACTGCCCAAGCTGGGTGTCACCCCAGCCACTCCAACCACCCCCAGAGCCTGGCTGGACTCTGGAGCTGCAGAGCACATTCTAAGGGCTCCTGCTTTGCTCCCCTGAACCCCTGGCACTGGGATTCCCAGGAAGGTGGCTGGCACACAACCCCCTCCATACCAGGGTTATACCCACTAGAAAAGTGCCAGGAATGCTGCTGCCAGTCATGGGGAGGCTTTTTGCTGCCTGTGCAGTGACATAACTCAGCACCAATCCCACATCCACAACGTCCCAGCACTGCAGGGTTGGGAGGCACCACAAAGCCACAGAGCTGCTTTTGGTAGCACCAAGTCTTGGGCATCAGAACAAGAATAGGTCTAACAAAACTATAAAAGTAAATTAAAATTATCACATTCTAGGGTGAGAGCATCGAGACCAACTTATGCTAATGCCAAGTGCAAATGTCTGTGGCTGTGAGTTTGTATCCAACTCCTAATCATTTCTGGATTAAAAAAATCCAAAGTAAAAGCAAAGGGTTTCACTGAAATTTGAAATACTTAAAAGTTTGTATCCTTTTGTCAAAACACAGGTCTAGTAAAAGATGTCCCTGCCAATAGCACTGGGGACAACTGGATGATCTTTAAGGTCCCTTCCAACCCAAACCATTATGGGATGCTACAAGACTTCACTCCAGGACATCAGATAGAGTGCAATTGTACCAAGCCAAGCACCACAAACTCTATAAATCCAGGTTTTTAGGGAAGCAATCGGATCTGTTATGGCTTGGAGCAGTCAGGGAAACTCCCAAAAAGTCCCTGCTCCCTTGGAGCACCGACAGGTGCTGCCTTGACCGACACTGACACGGCATCCAAGTGCCCTGATCCTGCTGGATTCACCAGAACAGCATCGCTTTGTGCCCTGCTTGCCTGGCTGGGAGGTGGGCTTTGATGTGATCATGGCTTTGGGTTCATATGTGCTTGCCACAGCAAAACACCCAGCAGGAAATGCAGAGAGTGTCTCAGGATAGCTCCAACAGCTCGGAGGGACCCCATGGGAGCCTTCCCCGGGCTGCTCCTGGAGCTGGGGGAGCTGAGAAGGACCTTGGAGCTGTGTCTGACCCTGGCTGTGACACTCACAGGGCAGTGACACTCACAGGGCAGTGACAGCCCTGTGTGCTGAGCTCAGAGCAGCCTCTCTGTGACCAGGACCGCTGGGCCTCATGCCAGCATTAGGGTGAGGGGGCCTGGCACAGGGTGCTCAGAGCAGCTGTGCCTGCCCCTGGATCCCAGAAGTGTGCAAGGCCAGGCTGGATGGGGCTTGGAACAACTTGGGACAGTGGAAGGTGTCCCTGCCCATGGCAGGGGGTGGAACAAGATGAGCTTTAAGGTCTGTTCCAACCCAGGCCATTCCATGATTAATGATGAACACCAGGAATATGAGCAACAGGCCAAGCTGCTGCACCTCCAAATGTGCATGGGGAACATACAGAAAATGCTGGCAGCTGCTCTGGAGCAAGACCCAGATGATAAATCTGAAGAAGACCTGTTGGTACCTGCACCTGAGACCCTTCCCACAAGGGCAGCTGTCCATGGAGCTGAGGCAGAGTAGTGGACCCTCATTATTCTGTCCTGGGTCCCTCACAGACACGATCAGGCTGCAGGCTGGGCCCAGGAGCCTTCTCAGCACCCTGCAACGCCCAGGGGCAGCTTGGGGACACAGGCACCATCTGCCACAGCCACACACTCCACTCATCTCTGCTCCAGAGATCTCTTTCCTCTCCTCCCCTCAGCTCCTTCTGTTTGTTACTGTACAGTCAACTCCAGCAGCAAGACATGACTCTTACTTTCTGCATCCTTCAACAGCATTTCCTGGCATTCCCACTGCCCTGTCCCTGGTATTATGAGTGAGGGATCCTGGCAGAGGACTCATGCCCCATGCGTGGCTGCAGCTGCAGAGTCAGGATCCCCTGCTCCCTCCTGGGTCTGTGGCTGCAGATGGGCTCCCAGGCATGGCATACCCCTCTCTGCCAGGCTGGGCACCTCTGCAGCACCGACTGCCACAGCCATGGGGCAACAGCTCCTTACAAACCCTTATCTGACCTAGGAGACAACAAATCCCATTGCTGGAGACAGGGGGTATGTTCATACCCAAAATCAGAGAGGTTTCATCCATGCTGCCTAAATCCCACCACACTCCTGTTCCAGCACTGCCCAGGGGCTCCCAGGCAGCAGAAGGACCTCTGGGATTATGATGCCGCTCCAGCTAGGGCTCCCTGGTGGAAGACATTGCTGTTCTGCCAGATCCTTCTCCCAGGACAATCCCTGCCTGCCTCTGTGCTCATGGGATCCTAGTGGTGGGCTGGGATCTGCTGGCAGGGTTTGGACCCACTTTCAGATAATTCAGCCTGGCAGCTCTGTCCACACCCTGGCCCTGGTAAGACACTGCCAACCTGTGACCCTGGCTTTGTCACTCCATCTGTCTCTGTCACCACATCCCTCCTGTCACATCTTCTGAGAAGACACAGAGCTCCTCCTCATCCCTATCTTCTTGATATCACCTTTTTGGTTTCTTGTTTCCTTACCTTATGGCTTCTCTTTATTTTTTACCTTTTCTGTCCAGTGTACTACTCCTAAAATACTGAAGTTCACACCAGCATGAATCACAGGTTGCACTGAGCAGCAGAAACATGGGGAAAGGTCCTGGGGAATCAGGCATGGAGAGGTGCACAATTCCCACTTGGGAACTTCATGTACAAAACAGGAGGAAAAGAGGTACCCCTGAGAGGTCATCTAACCCACTCTGCTGCCTGAAGGCAGGATCAGCCAGACCTAAAGCATTCCTCTGAGACACTTGCTCAACCTGTTTTCAAGACCTCCAAAAAGGGAGACTCCTCACTCACAGCAGGACTCCCTTCTCCTCCACATCACAAAGTGTATTGCAGTACCTCACTGGAGCTGGTTTTGCTCCAGCCTGAGCCTATTAGCTCTCACTGAATCAACCATGCCCATAGAAAAGAGATTATTTGTGCTATTTTTTTTTTCCTCCCCAGGGAGACTTTAAACATTTCTGTTCACCAAGGAGTCCTGAGGGACAAGGGCTGAAAAAGGACTCGGAGAAAATCCTCATTTTCCTTGTAAGGGAACTCAGAGCACTTCCCACGCTTTCTTCATGGGGGAGGAATCAAAATTTGATCTGATCTGCAGCAGCAGGAGAAATGGTATAGCCAACAGATAGGATTGGCATGGAAAAGACAGGAAGAGAACAGGACAGGAGAGTGTTCACCAAAGAGCTTGAGAAAAATCCTGGACTGAACTCTTCACTACACTGACTACAATCCCTGAAGAACTGCAGGCAGCAAATACCAAAATACATTTGAAGGAGTCAGGAGCAATGCAGGGAATGGCAGATTGATAATGCTGACTTCCCTGCCAAAAGAAAAGCCAGGTTAAAAAAACAGGGTAATGAAGAGAAGGGAAGAACTAGCAGAGCTTTGGAAAAGAAAAGGGATGGTTCACAGAGCCACAGGGCTCCTCAAAGCAGTCAGTGAGTGTGGGACTACGGTAGTTCCATGAATGCCAGACTCTGGTGTCTCTTCTGTTCTTCTGCAAGGTCAAGGGTATGGAAGATGATGGAATATTGTGCAGTACTGCCCAGGGAAAGGACCTTGGACATGGGCCTGAAGCAACAGAACAAGGGGGAATGGCTTCCCACTGCCAGGGGGCAGGGCTGGATGGGATATTGGGAATTGGGAATTGTTCCGTGTGAGGGTGGGCAGGCCCTGGCACAGGGTGCCCAGAGCAGCTGGGGCTGCCCCTGGATCCCTGGCAGTGCCCAAGGCCAGGCTGGATGGGGCTGGGAGCAGCCTGAGATGTCCCTGCCCATGGCAGGGAGTGGGACGAGATGGGCTTTAAGATCCTTTCCAATCCAAACCACTCCATGGTTCTATGAACTTCAAGACTAAAAAGAGAAGAAAGCAGGGCAGCCCTTACAATGAACTCACCAGCACAGTCCCAAGGCAAACTGTGTTGTCCAAATATGCAAAAGCCACATGGAAAATGAGAGGGATGGCGAAACGACCGAACTCTTCAGTAACACAGAAAAATCCAAGCTGGTAAATATCAAAACTGTCTAGCAAAGGATCTCATGCTACCAAGTGATGGAGTGATACAGGATATTAAGAAATGCAAATATGATAAAGTATATCCAGGTATTTTACACAGGGATGAGCTCTAGGTAAGCAGTTAATGAACAGGAAAGAACTTGGAGTCACAGCAGGGAGTTTTATGGAAACCATTGTTGAATCACCTAAAGCAGTCAAAAAGCAAACAGGCATTACTGTAAAAAGCAAATGAAAAATGAAAATCCACTAGATAAAGCTGCAGTATGTCAACATTTTGACTGTTACAAGGAGTCATGCTCACTCCATCTCAAACAGAGATTTCTGTACAAGTGATTAAGTGAACAAGAATTCTTCAGCTTACTACAGGTGGGATATGTCAAAGATACAGAAACTCATTAAAAATATGAAGAATTCCTGGATCAAAACATCAGGAAGAGCTGTTAAATGCAAAGGTGGTGCCTGGTTGTGGGCACAGCCTGCTGCAGTCAGGGGGCTGCAGAGGATTATCCATTGGGATTTGCCTGTGCTCTGCCCATTTTGGGGCACATATAGGGTTCTGCACTCACCAGGCAGCACCATGGGCTGCACACTCCCCTCCCCACTAGAAGACTTTTGCCATGAATATTTCATCGAGGAACCAAACTCCAGAATACCACTGGGATTTGTGGTCAGTGGTGCCAGAGAGCCAGGGCAGCATCTGTGCCCAGAACACCAGCAGAGCCAGCTGCTGCCTTATTTGTGGGACAGCACTGTGACTTCTGGCTGTGTCCCAGCACCAGTTCTCCTTCCCCTCCTCTTGCCAGTGTTCCAGCAGGCAGAACCCCATGCAAGACCTTGAGGGAATGCTCACACATGCAGGGCCAGGAGAAGGTGCAAGGACTTTGTTCAGGACAGCAGGGCCTCCCCCACCACAGCTCACGCCAGGACCACTCCATCTCATGCCAGGACCATTCCCCACATGCCATTGGCACCACAGCCTCGAGTGGATGAAATGTCTTGTGGAAAGTCTCCTCCAAAGATGAGCTACAGCCAAAGCAACAGTGAGGGGATGAAGGAGCCTAGGGCACCACAACAGCACCTTTGGTGACACAGAGCATCTTGGACATCCTAGTGCCATGTCCATGCATAAACAGGAGACACCCACTGCCCACTTCTGGCCTCACTCAGCTCTCATGTCACTGTCACCCAGCATGAGCTTCTGAGGCAGGATCTGGATATTCCTGGATTTGTGGATATGTCTGGCTCAAGACACCTCTGCCCTGCTGGAATTCTGGCAGTGAGCCTCTGAGGTAAGTAAGATTTGTATTCCTTTGTAGGCTTCAAAAGGCAAGTGGAAGTGCTCTCCTACCACCCTCTCCATCTTTGCTGCCAACACTAGCCTGGATGTAAGAATTACTGGGCAAGATCCTCTGCTGGATCTATGAGGAAGTGGAAACAGGGCACCTGAGACAGGATTCCTGTGGGAAGGAGCACAGCAGATGTCTCAGCTCTAAAAGCCAGATCTGCACCTGCACAGTGCATCTCCCAGAGGTGTCAGAGCATAGGCAGTGTCCCAGCTGCTGGCATGAGGGACATCTCCAGCTGGGATGCATCCTCATGCACAGCTGGGATGGAACAGACCATGTGCACTTCTCAGTCACTGCAGAATGATCCCGACAGCAACACTGCCCTGTTGGGACAACCCAGACACCAGATCTGCCTCTCCCAGCCTGCCCCAAAGCTCAACCTGGTAAGAGTGGACCCAGGTGGGGATCAGACTCTTCTCCCAGACAAGTGACAGGACAAGAGGAAACAGCTACAGGTTGTGTCCAGGCAGGTTCAGGTTGGACATTAGTAAGAATTTCTTCATGTCAGGTATTGGAAGGGGCTGCCCAGGGAAGCGGTGGAGTTCCTATCCCTGGAGGATAGGGACTGTCCAAGGAACGGCACTCAGGGCTCTGGGCTGGGTGACAAGGTGGGGATTGGTCACAGGTTGGACTTGATGCTCTTCGAGGTCTTTTTCAATCTCAGTGATTCTGTGACTCCGTGAAAAATACTGTGTGAAAGTCTTTATTGCTGTAAGAAATGTGTGAAAGTCTTTATTGCTGTAAGAAATGTGTGAATGTCTTTATTGCTGTAAGAAAGGTTCTCACCAGTTTACCTGAACTCTCCAGCTTTACCAGCTGAACAGAAGCCACTCTTACCCCAAGATCATTCCACTCTACCCACAGAGACAGCAGCAGGAATGACAGGACACTACCACAGGAACAGGAGATGCTGCCAGGAGGCTGAAACACACTGACAGCAGAGCTAGAAAGTGCTGTGGGACACTGCTAGGACATGGGAGGATGGGGAGGGACAGGGCAGGGAGATGAAGTGGATTTTAGCCAGGAAGAAGATGGAAATGACTGGCTGGAAAAGAACAGCAGAGGGTTTCAAGAGGCCCAAGGGAAAACTGCCACTTCCATGACTCCTGGGCATGAAGCTCAGCCATCAGGATATGGGGCTGTTTTAATTTACCTGCATAAAGTTTCAAGAGCTGTTATAACAGCAAACACACCTTACCCACATGTGAGTCACAGACAAACACATTCACTGATAACAGATACATTATTCTTAGAGAGACTCAAGTCCTACCTCAATGTCTGAACAGCTCAGACAACCATCCAAGTCCCCTGAAGGAATGGCCAGAGGTGGGAGAGGAGACAAAGGACCTACAAGGTGCCTGTGCAATACTCCTGTCCTTGTGCCCTTACTCATGCTCATGAACTTCACTACCTTTGGCCCGAGTCAAGGGTCAGCAGGGCCTGAGGGTTTAATACAACAAATCAGGCCCTAATCAAGAAATTACTGGTTTACCCTCTCCTTTTCACTACCAAGCTGGTGAGCAATGAAGAGCAGTGCTGAACCCAAGAGGGATGTTTATTTGATAACCACACGTGCAGGATTAGACAGTTCAGGTGGTCT